GGTTTCGTTTGTCTGGTTTGGTTTGGTCTGGTTTGGCTTGGTCTGGTTTGGTTTGGCTGGGTCTGGTTTGTTTCGGTCTTGTTTGGTTTAGTCTGGTTTGGTTTGGTCTGGTTTGATTTTGTCTGATTTGGTTTTGTCTGGTTTGGTTTGGTTTGGTTTATTTTGGTCTAGTTTGGTTTAGCCTGGTCTGGTTTGGTTTGGTCCGGTTTGGTCTGGTTTGGTTTGGTCTGGTTTCGTTTGGCTTGATCTGGTTTGGTTTGGTCCTTTTTGGTTTGGTCTGGTTTTGTTCGTTTTGGTTTGTCTGGTTTGGCTTGGTCTGGTTTGGTTTGGCTTGGTCTGGTTTGGTTTGGTCTGGTTTGGTTTGGTCTGGTTTGGTTTGGTCTGGTTTGGTTTGGTTTGGTCTGGATTGGTTTGGTCTGGTTTGGTTTGGTTTGGCCTGGTCTGGTTTGGTCTGGTTTGATTTTGTCTGATTTGTTTTTGTCTGGTTTGGTTTGGTTTGGTTTGGTCTAGTTTGGTTTAGTCTGGTTTGGTTTGGTCTGATTTGGTTTGGCCTGATTTGTCTTGGTCTGGTTTCGTTTGGTCTGGTTTGGTTTGTTCCGGTTTGGTCTGGTTTGGATTGGTCTGGTTTCGTTTGTTTGATCTGGTTTGGATTGGTCTGATTTGGCTTGGTCTGGTTTGGTTTGGTCTGTTTTGGTTTAGTTTGGTTTGATCTGGTTTGGATTGGTCTGGTTTCGTTTGGCTTGATCTGGTTTGGATTGGTCTGATTTGGCTTGGTCTGGTTTGGTTTGGTCTGATTCGGTTTGGTCCAGTTTGGTTTGGTCTGGTTTGGTTTGGTCTGGTCTGGTCTGGTTTGGTTTGGTTTGGTCTAGTTTGGTTTGGTTTGGTTTGGTTTGGTCTGATTTGGTTTGGTTTTGTGTGATTTATTTTGTTCTGTTTTTGTTTGATTTGGTCTGGTTTGGTTCAGTCTGGTTTGGTTTGATCTGATTTGGTTTGATCTGGTTTGGTTTGTTCTGGTTTGATTTTGTCTGATTTGGTTTTGTCTGGTTTGGTTTGGTTTGGTCTAGTTTGGTTTAGCCTGGTCTGGTTTGGTTTGGTCCGGTTTGGTCTGGTTTGGTTTGTTCTGGTTTCGTTTGGCTTGATCTGGTTTGGTTTGGTCCTTTTTGGTTTGGTCTGGTTTGTTTTGGCTTGGTCTGGTTTGGTTTGGTCTGGTTTGTTTTGATCTGGTTTGGTTTGGTCTGGTTTAGTTTGGTTTGGTTTGGTTTGGTCTGGTTTGGTTTGGTCTGGTTTGGCTTGGTCTGGTTTGGTTTGGCTTGGTCTTGTTTGGTTTGGTCTGGTTTGGTTTGGTCTGGTTTGTTTTGATCTGGTTTGGTTTGGTCTGGTTTAGTTTGGTTTGGTTTGGTCTGGTTTGGTTTGGTCCGGTTTGGCTTGGTCTGGTTTGGTTTGGCGTGGTCTGGTTTGGTTTAGTCTGGTTTGGTTTGGTCTGGTTTGTTTTGATCTGGTTTGGTTTGGTCTGGTTTAGTTTGGTTTGGTTATGTTTGGTCTGGTTTGGTTTGGTCTGGTTTGGTTTGGTCTGGTTTGGTTTGGTCTGGATTGGTTTGGTCTGGTTTGGTTTGGTTTGGTCTGGTCTGGTTTGGTCTGGTTTGATTTTGTCTGATTTGGTTTTGTCTGGTTTGGTTTGGTTTGGTTTGGTCTAGTTTGGTTTAGTCTAGTTTGGTTTGGTCTGATTTGGTTTGGCCTGTTTTGTCTTAGTCTGGTTTCGTTTGGTCTGGTTTGGTTTGTTCCGGTTTGGTCTGGTTTGGATTGGTCTGGTTTCGTTTTGGCTTGATCTGGTTTGGATTGGTCTGATTTGGCTTGGTCTGGTTTGGTTTGGTCATGTTTTGTTTAGTCTGGTTTGGTTTGGTCTGGTTTGCTTTGGCTTGGTCTGGTTTGCTTTGGAATCGTTTGGTTTGGTCTGGTTTGGTTTGGTCTGGTTTGGTTTGGTCTGGTTTAATTTGGTCTGGTTTGGTTTAGTCTGGTTTCTCATAAGTGGGAAATTTTTTGTCATGCAAATCCATACGTACAGAATTTTGTATGAAATCTCTGGTTTGGTTTGGTCCGGTTTGGTCTGGTTTGGTTTGGTCTGGTTTCGTTTGGCTTGATCTAGTTTGGTTTTGTCTTTTTTGGTTTGTTCTGGTTTTGTTCGGTTTGGTTTGTCTGGTTTGGCTTGGTTTGGTTTGGTTTGGCTCGGTCTGGTTTGATTTGGTCTGGTTTGGTTTGGTCTTGTTTGTTTTGATCTGGTTTGGTTTGGTCTGGTTTGGTCTGGTTTGGTTTGGTCTGGTTTGATTTGGTCTGGTTTGGTTTAGTCTGGTTTGGCTTGGTCTGATTTGGTTTGGTCTGGTTCGGTTTGGTCCAGTTTGGTTTGGTCTGGTTTGGTTTGGTTTGGTTTGGTTTGGTTTGGTCTAGTTTGGTTTAGCCTGGTCTGGTTTGGTTTGGTCCGGTTTGGGCTGGTTTGGTTTGGTCTGGTTTCGTTTGGCTTGATCTGCTTGGTTTGGTCTTTTTTGGTTTGGTCTGGTTTTGTTCGGTTTGGTTTGTCTGGTTTGGCTTGGTCTGGTTTGGTTTGGCTTGGTCTGGTTTGGTTTGGTCTGGTTTGGTTTGGTCTGGTTTGTTTTGATCTGGTTTGGTTTGGTTTGGTTTGGTTTGGTTTGGTATGGTTTGGTTTGGTTTGGTTTGGTTTGGTTTGGTCTGGTCTGGTCTGGTTTGGTCTGGTTTGGTTTGGTCTGGTTTGGTTTGGTCTGGATTGGTTTGGTCTGGTTTGGTTTGGTTTGGTCTGGTCTGGTTTGGTCTGGTTTGATTTTGTCTGATTTGGTTTTGTCTGGTTTGGTTTGGTTTGGTTTGGTTTGGTCTAGTTTGGTTTAGTCTGGTTTGGTTTGGTCTGATTTGGTTTGGCCTGTTTTGTCTTAGTCTGGTTTCGTTTGGTTTGTTCCGGTTTGGTCTGGTTTGGATTGGTCTGGTTTCGTTTGGCTTTATCTGGTTTGGATTGGTCTGATTTGGCTTGGTCTGGTTTGGTTTGGTCTGTTTTGGTTTGGTTTGGTTTGATCTGGTTCGGTTTGGTCCAGTTTGGTCTGGTTTTGTTTAGTGTGGTTTGGTTTGGTCTGGTTTGGTTTGCCTTGGTCTGGTTTGCTTTGGAATGGTTTGGTTTGGTCTGGTTTGGTCTTAGTCTTGTTTGGTTTAGTCTGGTTTGGTTTGGCCTGGTTTGATTTTGTCTGATTTGGTTTTGTCTGGTTTGGTCTGGTTTGGTTTGGTCTGGTTTGGATTGCTCTGGTCTGATTTGGCTTGGTCTGGTTTGGTTTGGTCTGTTTTGGTTTGGTTTGGTTTGATCTGGTTCGGTTTGGTCCAGTTTGGTCTGGTTTTGTTTAGTCTGGTTTGGTTTGGTCTGGTTTGGTTTGCCTTGGTCTGGTTTGCTTTGGAATGGTTTGGTTTGGTCTGGTTTGATTTGGTCTGGTTTGGTTTGGTCTGGTTTAATTTGGTCTGGTTTGGTTTAGTCCGGTTTCTCATATATGGGAAATTTTTTGTCATGCAAATCCATACGTACAGAAATTTGTATGAAGTCTCTATAAATAACATTTTCCCATAACTGGAAATTGTATGACCAACAGTTTAGGTAACATTTTTGGTATTTTTGGTCTGATTTGGTTTGGTTTGGTTTGGTTTGGTCTGGATTGGTTTGGTCTGATTTGGTATTGTCTGGTTTGGTTTGCTCTAGTTTGGTTTGGTTTGGTTTGGTCTGGTTTGGTCTGGTTTAGTTTGGTCCGGTTTGGTCTGGTTTAATTTGGTCAGTTTTGGTTTGGTCTGGATTGGTTTGGTCTGGTTTCGTATGGTCTGGTTTGATTTGGTCTGGTTTGGTTTGGTTTGGTCTGGTTTGGTTTGCTCTGGTTTGGTTTGGCTTGGTCTGGTTTAATTTGGCTTGGTCTGCTTTGATTTGGTCTGGTTTGGATTGGTCTGGTTTGGTTTGGTCTGCTTTGGTTTGGTCTGGTTTGGTTTGGTCTGGGCTGGTTTGGTCTGATTTGGTTTGGTTTTGTGTGATTTATTTTGTTCTGGTTTTGTTTGGTTTGGTCTGTTTGGTTCAGTCTGGTTTGGTTTGATCTGATTTGGTTTGATCTGGTTTGGTTTGGTCTGGTTTGGTTTGGTCTCGTTTGGTTTGGTCTGGTTTTGTTTGGTTTCGTTTGTCTGGTTTGGTTCGGTCTGGCTTGGCTTGGTCTGGTTTGGTTTGGCTTGGTCTGGTTTGTTTCGGTCTTGTTTGGTTTAGTCTGGTTTGGTTTGGCCTGGTTTGATTTTGTCTGATTTGGTTTTGTCTGGTTTGGTTTGGTTTGGTTTGGTCTAGTTTGGTTTAGCCTGGTCTGGTTTGGTTTGGTCCGGTTTGGTCTTGTTTGGTTTGGTCTGGTTTCGTTTGGCTTGATCTGGTTTGGTTTGGTCTTTTTTGGTTTGTTCTGGTTTTGTTCGGGTTGTTTTGTCTGGTTTGGCTTGGTCTGGTTTGGTTTGGCTTGGTCTGGTTTGGTTTGGTCTGGTTTGGTTTGGTCTGGTTTGTTTTGATCTGGTTTGGTTTGGTTTGGTTTGGTTTGGCTTGGTCTGGTTTGGTCTGGTTTGGTTTGGTTTGGTTTGGTTTGGTTTGGTTTGGTTTGGTCTGGTTTGGTTTAGTCTGGTTTGGCTTGGTCTGATTTGGTTTGGTCTGGTTCGGTTTGGTCCACTTTGGTTTGGTCTGGTTTGGTTTGGTCTGGTCTGGTTTGATTTGTTTTGGTCTGGTTTGGTTTGGTCTGGTTTGGTTTGGTTTGGTTTGGTCTGGTCTGGAATGGTTTGGCCTGGTTTGGTATGGTCTGGTTTTGTTTTGGTCTGAGTGGTTTGATTTGGTCTAGTTTGTCCTGGTTTGGTTTGGTCTGATTTGGTTTGGTCATGTTTGGTTTGGTCTGGTTTTGTTTGGTCTGGTCTGGTTTGGTTTAGTCTGGTTTGGCTTGGTATGGTTTGGTTTAGTCTGGTTTGGCTTGGTCTGATTTGTTTTGGTCTAGTTCGGTTTGGTCCAGTTTGGTTTGGTCTGGTTTGGTCTGGTTTGGTTTGGTCTGGTTTGGTTTAGTCTGGTTTGGCTTGGTCTGATTTGGTTTGGTCTGTTTCGGTTTGGTCCAGTTTGGTTTGGTCTGGTTTGGTTTGGTCTGGTCTGGTTTGATTTGTTTTGGTCTGGTTTGGTTTGGTCTGCTTTGGTTTGGTCTGGTTTGGTTTGGTTTGGTCTGGAATGGTTTGGTCTGGTTTGGTATGGTCTGGTTTTGTTTTGGTCTGAGTGGTTTGATTTGGTCTGGTTTGTCCTGGTTTGGTTTGGTCTGATTTGGTTTGGTCATGTTTGGTTTGGTCTGGTTTTGTTTGGACTGGTCTTGTTTGGTCTGGTCTGGTCTGGTCTGGTCTGGTCTGGTTTGGTTTGGTCAGGTTTGGTTTGGTTTGGTCTAGTTTGGTTTGGTATGGTCTGATTTGGTCTGATTTGGTCTGGTTTGGTTTGGTCCGGTTTAGTCCAGTTTGGTTTGTTCTGATTTGGTTTGTCCTGGTTTGGTTTTGTCTGATTTGGTTTTGTCTGGTTTGGTTTGGTTTGGTTTGGTCTAGTTTGGTTTAGTATAGTTTGGTTTGGTCTGATTTGGTTTAGCCTGTTTTGCCTTAGTCTGGTTTGGTTTGATCTGGTTTGGTTTGTTCCGGTTTGGTCTGGTTTGGATTGGTCTCGTTTCTCATATATGGAAAATTTTTTGTCGTGCAAATCCATACAAATCTCTATAAATAACATTTTCCCATTAATGGAAATTCTATGACTAACAGTTTTGGTAACATTTTTGGTATTTTTGGTCTGGTTTGGTTTGGTCTGGTTTGGTTTGGTCTGGATTGGTTTGGTCTGATTTGGTATGGTCTGGTTTGAATTGGTTTGGTTTGGTTTGGTTTGGTCTGGATTGGTTTGGTCTTCTGGATTGGTTCGGTCTGGTTTGGTTTGGTCTGGTTTGGTTTGGTCTGGTTTCGTTTGGTCTGCATTGTTGTGGTCTGGTTTGGTTTGGTCTGGTTTGGTCTGGTTTGGTTTGGTCTGGTTTGGTTTGGTCTGGTCTGGTTTGGTTTGGTTTGGTTTGGTCAGGTTTGGTTCGGTCTAGTTTAGTTTGGTCTAGTTTGCTTTGGTCTGGTTTGGTTTGATCCGGTTTGGTCTGGTTTTGTTTAGTCTGGTTTGGTTTGGTCTGGTATGGATTGGCTTGGTCTGGTTTGGTTTGGCTTGGTCTGGTTTTTTCTGGTCTGGTTTGGTCTGGTCTGGTTTGGTTTGGTTTGGTCAGGTTTGGTTCGGTCTAGTTTAGTTTGGTCTAGTTTAGTTTGGTCTAGTTTGCTTTGGTTTGATTTGGTCTGATTCGGCTTGGTCTGGTTTGGTTTGGTCTAGTTTGGTTTGGTCTGGTCTGATCTGGTCTGGTTTGGTTTCGTCCGGTATAGTCCAGTCTGGTTGGGTCTGATTTGGTTTGTCCTGGTTTGGTTTGGTCTGATCTCGTTTGGATTGGTCTGGTTTGGTTTGGTCCGGTTTGGTCTGTTTTGGTTTGGTCTGGATTGTTGTGGTCTGGTTTGGTTTGGTTTGGTCTGATTTGGTCTGGTTTGGTCTGGTTTGGTTTGGTTTGGTTTGGTCTGGTCTGATTTCGTTTGGTTTGGTCTAGTTTGGTTTGGTCTGGTTTGGTTTGGTCCGGTTTGGTCTGGTTTGGTTTGGTCTGGTTTGGTTAAGCCTGGTTTGGTTTGGTCTGGTTTGGTTTGGTCTGGTTCAGTCTGGTCTGGTTTGGTTTGGTCCGGGTTGGTTCGGTCTGAATTGGTTTGGTCTGGTTTGAATTGATCTGATTTGGTTTGGTCTGTTTTTGTTTGGTTTGGTTTGGTTTGGTTTGTTTTGGTTTGGTCTGGTTTGGTTTAGTCTGGTTAGGCTTGGTCTGATTTGTTTTGACCTGGTTTGGTTTGTTCTGGTTTGGATTTGTCTGCTTTGGTTTGCTCTGGTTTGGTCCGGTTTGGTCTGGTTTGGTTTGGTCTGGTTTCGTTTAGCTTGGTCTGGTTTGGTTTGATCTGGTTTCGTTTAGTCTGGTTTGGTCTGGTTTGGTCTGGCTTGGTCAGGTTTGGTTTGGCTTGGTCTGGTTTTTTTTTCGGTCTGGTTTGGTTTGGTCTAGTTTGATTTGGTCTGATTTGGTTTGGTCGGTTTGGTTTAGCTTGGTCTGGTTTGGTTTGGTCTGGTTTGGTTTGGTTTGGTTTGGTCTGGTTTGGTTTGGTCTGGTTTGGTTTGGTTTGGTCTGGTTTAGTTTGGTCTGGTTTGGTTTAGTCTGGTTTGGCTTAGTTTGATTTGGTTTGGCCTGGTTTGGTTTGGTCTGGTTTGGTTTGGTCTGGTTTGGTTTGGTCTGGTCTGGTTTGGTTTGGTCTGGTTTGGTTTGGTTCGGTCTAGTTTAGTTTGGTCTAGTTTGCTTTGGTCTGGTTTGGTTTGATCCGGTTTGGTCTGGTTTTGTTTAGTCTGGTTTGGTTTGGTCTGGTATGGGTTGGCTTGGTCTGGTTTGGTTTGGCTTGGTCTGGTTTTTTCTGGTCTGGTTTGGTCTGGTCTGGTTTGGTTTGGTTTGGTTTGGTTTGGTCAGGTTTGGTTCGGTCTAGTTTAGTTTGGTCTAGTTTGCTTTTGTTTGATTTGGTCTAATTCGGCTTGGTCTGGTTTGGTTTGGTCTAGTTTGGTTTGGTCTGGTCTGATCTGGTCTGGTTTGGTTTCGTCCGGTATAGTCCAGTCTGGTTGGGTCTGATTTGGTTTGTCCTGGTTTGGTTTGGTCTGATCTGGTTTGGATTGGCCTGGTTTGGTTTGGTCCAGTTTGGTCTGTTTTGGTTTGGTCTGGATTGTTGTGGTCTGGTTTGGTTTGGTTTGGTCTGGTTTGGTCTGGTTTGGTCTGGTTTGGTTTGGTTTGGTTTGGTCTGGTCTGATTTCGTTTGGTTTGGTCTAGTTTGGTTTGGTCTGGTTTGGTTTGGTCCGGTTTGGTCTGGTTTGGTTTAGTCTGGTTTGGTTAAGCCTGGTTTGGTTTGGTCTGGTTTGGTTTGGTCTGGTTCAGTCTGGTCTGGTTTGGTTTGGTCCGGGTTGGTTCGGTCTGAATTGGTTTGGTCTGGTTTGAATTGGTCTGATTTGGTTTGGTCTGTTTTTGTTTGGTTTGGTTTGGTTTGTTTTGGTTTGGTCTGGTTTGGTTTAGTCTGGCGAGGCTTGGTCTGATTTGTTTTGACCTGGTTTGGTTTGTTCTGGTTTGGATTTGTCTGCTTTGGTTTGCTCTGGTTTGGTCCGGTTTGGTCTGGTTTGGTTTGGTCTGGTTTCGTTTAGCTTGGTCTGGTTTGGTTTGATCTGGTTTCGTTTAGTCTGGTTTGGTCTGGTTTGGTCTGGCTTGGTCAGGTTTGGTTTGGCTTGGTCTGGTTTTTTTTTCGGTCTGGTTTGGTTTGGTCTAGTTTGATTTGGTCTGATTTGGTTTGGTCGGTTTGGTTTAGCTTGGTCTGGTTTGGTTTGGTCTGGTTTGGTTTGGTTTGGTTTGGTCTGGTTTGGTTTGGTCTGGTTTGGTTTGGTTTGGTCTGGTTTAGTTTGGTCTGGTTTGGTTTAGTCTGGTTTGGCTTAGTTTGATTTGGTTTGGCCTGGTTTGGTTTGGTCTGGTTTGGTTTGGTCTGGTTTGGTTTGGTCTGGTCTGGTTTGGTTTGGTCTGGTTTGGTTTGGTTCGGTCTAGTTTAGTTTGGTCTAGTTTGCTTTGGTCTGGTTTGGTTTGATCCGGTTTGGTCTGGTTTTGTTTAGTCTGGTTTGGTTTGGTCTGGTATGGGTTGGCTTGGTCTGGTTTGGTTTGGCTTGGTCTGGTTTTTTCTGGTCTGGTTTGGTCTGGTCTGGTTTGGTTTGGTTTGGTTTGGTCAGGTTTGGTTCGGTCTAGTTTAGTTTGGTCTAGTTTGCTTTGGTTTGATTTGGTCTAATTCGGCTTGGTCTGGTTTGGTTTGGTCTAGTTTGGTTTGGTCTGGTCTGATCTGGTCTGGTTTGGTTTCGTCCGGTATAGTCCAGTCTGGTTGGGTCTGATTTGGTTTGTCCTGGTTTGGTTTGGTCTGATCTGGTTTGGATTGGTCTGGTTTGGTTTGGTCCGGTTTGGTCTAGTTTGGTTTGGTCTGATTTGGTTTGGTCGGTTTGGTTTAGCTTGGTCTGGTTTGGTTTGGTCTGGTTTGGTTTGGTTTGGTTTGGTCTGGTTTGGTTTGGTCTGGTTTGGTTTGGTTTGGTCTGGTTTAGTTTGGTCTGGTTTGGTTTAGTCTGGTTTGGCTTGGTTTGATTTGGTTTGGCCTGGTTTGGTTTGGTCTGGTTTGGTTTGGTCTGGTTTGGTTTGGTCTGGTCTGGTCTGGTTTGGTTTGGTCTGGTTTGGTTTGGTTCGATTAGGTTCGGTCCTGTTTGTTTTGGTTTGGTTTGTTTGGTCTGGTCTGTTTTGGTCTGGTTTGCTTTGGTCTGGTTTCGTTTAGCTTGGTCTGGTTTGGTTTGGTCTGGTTTGGTTTGATCTGGTTTGGTCTGGTTTGGTTTGGTCTGGTTTGGTTTGGTCTGATTTGATTTGGCCTGGTTTGGTTTGGTCTGATTTGGTTTGGCCTGGTTTGGTTTGGTATGGTTTGGTCTGGTTTGGTTTGGTCTGGTCTGGTTTGATTTGGTCTGGCTTGGTTTGGTCCGGTTTGTTCTGGATTGGTTTGGTTTGGTCTGGTCTGGTTTGGTCTGGTTTGGTTTGGTCTGGTTTGGTTTGGTCTGGTTTGGTTTGGTCTGGTTTGGTTTGGTCTGGTTTGGTTTGATCTGGTTTGGTTTGGTCTGGTTTGTTCTGGTTTGGTTTGGTTTGGTCTGGTCTGGTCTGGTCTGGTTTGATTTGGTCTGGTTTGTTTTGGTCCGGTTTGTTCTGGATTGGTTTGGTTTGGTCTGGTCTGGTTTGGTCTGGTTTGGTTTGGTCTGGTTTGGTCTGGTTTGGTTTGGTCTGGTGTGGTTTGGTCCGGTTTGTTCTGATTTGGTTTGGTTTGTTCTGGTCTGATTTAGTCTGGTTTGGTTTGTTCTGGTTTGGTTTGGTTTGGTTTGGTTTGGTTTGGTTTGGTTTGGTCTGGTCTGGTCTGATTTTGTCTGATGCGGTTTGCTCTGGTTTTGTTTGGTCCGGTTTGGTCTAGTTTCGTTTGGTCTGGTTTGGTTTATCTTGGTCTGGTTTGGTTTGGCCTGGTTTGGTTTGGTCTGGTTTGGTCTGGTTCGGTCTGGTTTGGTTTGATCTGGTTTGGTTTGGTCTGGTTTCGTTTGGCCTGGTTTGGTTTGGATTGGTTAGGTATGGTCTGGTTTGGTTTAGTCTGGTTTGGTTTAGTC